TAGAGGCACTCTTGCTTATCATAACCATGCACTTAGTAAGTTTATTTAATACCTAGGAGCATAGAAGGAGATTTTCAAAGAATTTGTGTATTTCCACTATATAATTAATAGAGCCCCCCCCCCCACCCAACACCAGAACTCTTGGCCCTGGGGCCATAAAATTCACAATTTTGGTAGAGGCACTCATGCTCATCATAACTATGCACTTAGTTAATTTATTTATATCTAGGAGCAGAGAAAAAGATTTTCAAAGAATTCATGTATTTTTACTATATAATCTATAAAGACCCCCCCTACCAAAAACCCCTGACCCTGGGGCCATAAAATTCACAATTTTTATAGAGGCACTCTTGCTCATCATAACTATGCACTTAGTTAGTTTATTTAATACCCAGGGGCAGAGAAGAAGATTTTCAAAGAAATCATGTATTTTCACTGTATATAATCAAGAGAGCCCCGCCCTAACACCAGAACCCCTGACCCTGGGACCATAAAATTCACAATTTTGGTAGAAGCACTCTTGCTCATCATAACTATCTACTTAGTTGGTTTATTTAATACCCAGGACCAGAGAAGAAGATTTTCAAAGATATTATGCATTATCACTACCTACTTATTTAGCCCTGCCCTAGCACTAGAACCCCTGACCCCAGGGCCATGAATTTCACAATTTTGGTAGAGGACTCAATGCTGATTACAATCATGCAAACAGTTTGATTGCTTGATGTCCAGGAGTAAAGAAGAAGATTTTCAAAGATTGCATTAATTTTAGTGGTTTTGGCCCCACCCCTCAGGCCCCAGGGGGGCAGGGATCATAAAATTCACAATTTGTGTTCCTTTCACATATAGATGCTTTGTGCCAAATTTGGTTGAAATTGGTTCAGTGGTTGCAGAGAAGAAGCTGAAAATGTTCAAAAGTTTACGAACGACGTACGACGTACGACGAACGACGACGGACGAAAACAGATAGCAATAGGTCGCCTGAGTTTACTCAGGTGACCTAAAAATGCACCCACTTTATTCTGTCATTTTTGTGAAAACCATCATTGCAGAAATAATATATGTTTATCATTGTAGGGCAAGTTGGACATGAATGGTCACTGAAAGGCTGTTATTGAAAGCATGACATGTATAAAGACAAGACGTATCCCTATAAAATCCGCCATTTGCAATGTACTTTCACTTTCAATTCTTAACATTTGGACAAAATAAACAGGGAAAACAACTTTCCAGAGAAGTCCAACTTGCCCTTCGTTGATAAACATATTTCTGAAGTGATGGTTTTAACTAGGAGCACGGAATAAATTAGGTCATTTTTGAAAATATATATATATGCATTTTTTAAGAAGAAATTTTCTCAATTATTATTTTTTCCAAGTATTTTTTTTATCAAGACATACTTTCTATCTGTTAAACAACAAAAAATTGATAAACTGTAAAAGTTTAAACTTAATATCTCATATAGTTTTGGGGCTATTGTAAAAACAAATTTTTGAACAAGTTGACCTTTGACGAAACCTTAAGTATGTTTACTCCTCTTATCACTCTTTCAAATGATAGCAAGGTGAATGACCTTGAAACTTTGACTTTGACGTAGATGCTAAAAATAATTTTTAGGAACTTTGATGCCACCGGACACATAGTGTTTCACAAACACATCTTGATTTAAGAGGCATAGGAATATTTGATATTTTATTGAAAAAAAATTGAAATTAGTTCACATGGAATAATGTAATATAATTTCTTTGAAATTTGCTTATATTAATTTTAGTAAAATATACTTTTGTTTCGTGTTCTTTAATTTCCACATGTAAACCATTGAATTTGGGCCAGAAACAAAGAACTGCAATTTCGAAAACATTTTTAACAGGACTATAATAATTAGAATCGATACACTAAAGCTTAATTTTAAACAAAAATTAACTACTTTATTTACAAAATAGAATTCAATTTCGTCTCCAAACGTTAATATCTAGATCAAAATTGGCTTTATTATATTCAGGTTGAATCCAAAGGCATTTAACCTTATTTTTTTTCTTATAATAAAAAAATATACCCCTACCTAATAATAAACAAGCAAGGTATCCATCGGGACCGCTATTTGGATTTTCGAACTCGTTATTCAATTGTATTTTCCTCTGAAACTCCCTAAAATAATTTCTAACTTACGGCCAGTGCAACCAGAAGGGCTTATTTCCCTTGCAAATATTAAAAATCCCTCTTCAAACTCGATCGACTACTTCAACAATGCGAGAAAACAGCTTTTTTCTGCAAACGTTAACGTTCGCCATAACTGTTGAACCATGAAAATAAACACTTCATATATTGGTATACATAGATGTGCACTCTACTAATTAGGCTCTTTCCAATTATACCAAGGTCACAATTGCTTTGTGACTTTGACTTTGACCTATAAGCGAATAATTTTTTTGTCTTCAAACTATAACTTCGCAATAACTTTTGAACTAAGAAAGACAGAAACTTCATATTTATAAGACGCATACTCCACGCATGAAGCTTTTTCATGACACCAAGGTCAATGACCTTTTTCATTGCCTGTGACCTATATGCTAAAAATAGCTTTTTTGAACCTTCATCATAACTTCTGAACTATGAGGGATATGACTATATTTGGTATGCATACTCCATTTATCAAGTTCTTTCAAATGATACCATGGTCAATGACCTTGTGACCTCGACTGTGACCTACTGTAAACCAACTTTTATTCGCGACGACTTTATTTCGCGATTTACTGGGAGTAAAGTTGTTAGCGGCGATTAATTTTCGCGATCAAGCTTTTTTTGGAACTATTTTTAATAGAAAAAGAGACTTAAAGGACCCGTTCGCGACGAGAAATATTCGCGATGACAAGGTTTTCGCGAACCTCGCGAAAATTTCGCGCACGCGAATAAAAGTTGGTTTACAGTATATGCTGAAAATAGCTTTTTCGAAGGTAGTTGCCGCCGGGTGCATAGTGTTTCACAAACACTTCTTGTTAAGTTTCTCAATTTTTTTCATTGAAATTTAAAAAATGATGTTTTTCTATTCCCTTACATGGAGGAAATAGCGTTTATGATAACATTAATATATTAGCATCAATCCATATCTTTTTTTACAGGCATAGATGAAAGAAGCCACTTTTCCCTTTTTCAAACAGTTTTACAATGACAGTTGATTTCATATAAAAATGTTGAATCCCTTTTCCTCCACAAGATATTTAAGGAAAGTTTTCGATCACCCTCCCCATCTTTAAAAAAAACGATGCTGCGCACATGTTAAACATGGAAAAATGTAAGATTAATAAAAAGGATTTTCAAAGATTGCATTTATCTTAATGCTTTTGGTCCTACCCCTCAGGCCCCCGGGGGAGTGGCACATACCATGAAATTAACAATTTTTTTCACCTTCACCCTATGGGGCTTTATGCAAAATTTGGTTGAAATTGGTTGGTAGGATGCAGAGAAGAAGCTGAAATGTTCAGATATAATAATAACGCACGACGAAAGACGAAACAGATAGCAATAGTTTACACAGGTGAGCAAAAAATGGCCCAGATTGTTTTTTCGATATCAAAAGGACAAACACAGAGATTCAAACATTCAACATACTAAGTAATAATTACATTTTCCCGATGATAATTTGAAAGTAAAACATAGGTATGCAGAGATTACAGAGCTCTCCTCAACGAATGTTGTCTTGAAGTAAGGCAAAGTCACACAATTACCCAAAAAAGAGTGTGCATTCAAAATTGCGAAATTTATGCAATTTTGATCTAATACTTTACAATAGACCTATATATAAAAACTTCAAACTAGTTCTTCATCACGAAAACGGTATTAAAATCCAGCATCTGAAGCCTTGATGCATCATTTGTGTTTGCTTTGGTTTATAAAAGCCTTATAGTTTCTTGGTAACCTGCACCCAGAATTGTACCTGGTCGATTATCTGTAAAATGTATGTCGAATTCAGCATCCAAAGCAAGCCCATAAGTGTGCATCCTAAGACGCATCATCCATACAAGTTGTTCAACATAGGGCTCATACAGTTAGTTACTTGGAAATGAAACCTGCATAAAAAACTAACCTTTACACTCATCCAGAAAATGTAGGTCAGATTCAGCATCCGAAACCGGTCTGGTAGAATGCATCCTTAGATGTATTATCCATGCAAGTTTGGTCATTAAAGAGATAAAAGTTACTTGGAAATGAATCCTGCACCAAAAAACTTTAACCTGTTCACTCATCCGGAAAATATAGGTCAGTTTCAGCCTCCAAAGCACAGGCACTTGTTTCTGTAATAAATTTTTGACCCATAGTATAATAATAACACGTTATACTATGGGTCAAAAATTTATTACAGAAACAAGTGCCTGTGGTATGCATCCTCAGATGTATTATCCGTGCAAGTTTAGTCGTAACTTTGAAATGAAACATGCACCAAAAACTTTAATCTGTTCACTCATCCAGAAAATGTAGGTCAGATTCAGCATCCAATGTAAGTCTGGTAGTATGCATCCTAAGATGTACCATCCATGCAAGTAGGTACATCTTAGGATGTATACTACCAGACTTGCTTCGTATGCTAAATCTGACCTACATTTCCTGGTTGTCGAATCCCACTGTGGGACGTGGAGACCGGTCCTTCGGATGAAACTGTATAAACCGAGGTCTGAAGCAAGCCTGGTAGTGCACATCCTTCGATATATAATCCATGCAAGTTTGATCAACATAGAGCTTATAGTTACTCAGAAATGAGACCTAATCTAGTCAGTTTTTATGTTATGTTTTAAAATTTTTCAGTCATACTTTGTGAATGTTTCACAGAAAAAATATTTTATTCAAAAAAAGTAATTAAAAAAGCCTTCTGTAGGTAACACAGTACGGATGAGGGGCCAAGCACCTACATGTGTATGAGGCTACTCTGTGTAGTAATGTGGCATTCATACACGTGTTTAGTTATAAAGCTCAGTAATCGTCACCTAATAAAGATAAAACACAGCCTTGATAAGACTTGTTTATTAGATTTCTTGTCAAGCATATAACAATTTGTTGGTCCTCATAAACAATTATAAATTTGTCACTAGCTTTACACGTTTTATGGTACTTTATAGAAAGAATGACGCTCGTTTGTTGGTTTTGTAAAACCACAAAAAACAAAACAACCATACATATACAAAAGTATAGTCGCCCGGGCTGAATATCAGCTTGGATACATGTACATGGTCCAGATACATTATAGAAATGTCATGTCATGATACTGGTCAATACAACAGATATTGTGACGTATGTAATACTGAGCAAATCTAGTCTGTGCAGGGGAAAGTGGCGGATCTCATTTCTTTTTAAATATTCTTCGACACACCACGTTGTTGATATAAACTGTCTGCAATACAAAAAAAAAAAAAAAGAAAAAAAAATTAATTAAGTCATTAACTTAAACAAAAAATCTAAATGAAGGAAGACTTAAGATGGCATAATGAGTCAATATCAAAAGATAAATGAATATACGACATATTGTACTTAGTATATCATTAGTATACAGGCTGTTGTATTGCATTCTTATGTTGAACGTTACATATCTCGGAAGCTTTTGAGGGGTAATATTACAAGCAAGTAGTAGATGGGGAATGCAGATTAAAGTGTTTTTGGCAATGCAAAATAATACATGCTCGTTAATGCCTAAAATTCTCAGTTATAAATTGAAATATCCAGAATTTAAATTTAAATAAGCTTTTTTTATCACCCTCCCCCCCCCCCCTCAAAATCCCCCCCCCCCCCCTCAAAAAAGGACTAAAAGTTTCATTTTATAATATCATGAATATATTCCCTCCACGCACTTTTAAAAAAGCAAATTAGCAAGCAGGCAAGGATGTTTAAAGTACTATAGTGTGCATTTATTTGTCGTGTACACATGAATGCAGACTTGGGTAAGCGGAGCTAATATCTACCATAAGTAGTTCCCCATTCACCAACTCTCTCTCCACGCGGGTGGCCTTGCCCTTTGACCCCTCCGTCGGTTTGGCCTCTGTTATTAGTTTCCCGTCTTTCCAGGTCACCGTTGCCTGTAATGTGTTAGAGTGTTAGTAAGTGACATAAATTGTAATGATTACCATGATCAGCTGCCCGTCCACCAACTCTCGAGTAACTTTGGTTTCCTTCGCCTTTGACCCCGCTGTCGGCATGGAATGTGTGACTAATTTACCCTCAGTCCACTTAACGACCGCCTTCCGAGAGGAAATAACATTGTAAGTGTCAGACAGAGAAGTTGAGTTATTCAGGAAATTGATGTTTAAATTTGAAAAAATGTACAGTTTACAAATACTAATATTTACAAAGAAAAAATCAATTACATGCTACTTGTACATTACACATTTTGCAGCTGGATTTCCGGGGAAGGGGAATCTCAGATTATTCATTTAAAGAAAAAATATTAAAACCGTTATAACACGGTCCTCTCTTTAGAAAACATGGATCATTACTCGATATAGTAAAATGGTAAGTAGTCATAACAATTTCTGTAGGAAAGAGGCTATATGTGCCTAGTGGGGTAGTCCTATTCTTATAACTTTATTTGAATTATATCCTTATGTCCTCCATAAAGATTTTTTATTTCCCATCAATGCTAGACACTGTATGATTTTTACCCATGACAAATCCCTTTCTTCCATTCCTCCTTAGCTCCGCTACAGATCCTCTGCCCCTTTAGCCCCCTCTTTTCTGCCCCCTACCTTTTTGTCACGTGATCTTGTTACCTTCATTGGGTTATCCTGAGGATCGCTGGACTCCACCTCGGTATCCAGGTGAAATTTATGGTCGGAATCTTTAGGCCCCTTGGTGTGGATCCGCACCTGTCCATCCTCAACAGAGATCGTCATAGTGCTGCTGGCGGCCGCGGCTAACTTCCGGAGCACAAAGTTCACACCTAGAAAAAAATGTTTGATTTTTCTATCGAGAGTAATTATATTGAAATATCATTAATATACATAAAAAAAATAATGGCAACTTTTATCCATTCGTCATTTGAATATAAAAAATTCAAAAGGGTGAAGATAAGAAACAGCGATAAAACTTCTAAAATAATATCCAAATACATGTAGCGGTAATACAGATCTGTGGAGAGGAAATCAACTCAAATCGGAAAATTTAGAGGTGGAATCGGGTGCCTGGAGGGAGTAAGCATCCCCTGTTGATTGGTCACATTCACCGTGAGCTGGATGTATAGATCAGAAAGACGAACATTGTAACCGTAGTCAAAGTCAGTATAAAACAAAGGCCAAATACATATGTACATGTATTTTGCTAACTAGGCCATTATAAAGACAATAGAATTTATGAAAATTAATGTTGACTTTTATTGAGGTTGTTAAAATCCATGTAACATCAATTTATCTGTTAGTAACCTGCATCGGTTTAAGAAACTTATTTTAATCTAATCATGTTCATGAGAATCGATTTAGTTGGGAGATGTAAACATTAAATGCAGGTGTGAGTGGGATATTACTGTAACTACATAAATATAAAGAAAGTTGACGATGGAAAAAATGAAATCATCTCGTTTGTCATACGTACAGTTGAAATTGTACCGTACGTATTTAATGCTTATTCTTATCTACACTTTGACATTAATGCCAATAGTTTGTCTTCTTCTGGTAATTTTTTCTAACTGCATCATTTCATATAAATTAATGTATTTACTACATATACTGGCGGTCGTTATCTAGAGTATATGATATCCATCCCATTTATTCAGTAGTTCCGGAAAACTTAACAGTCTGTACCAGTTTGAATACAGACTTTGACAAATAAATCATAAAACAGATGCAGTTAGATATAAAACCCTAGTATAATATGAAGCGGTCTGGGTTCGTTGACCCGACCTCCTGCGACTCAAGATCGACCCCGGTATGTATACCATTAAACCCAATTGCTAGGCATAGTCCGTGTGATTCAGGTCAGGATGAGTTCGGTCTTGAGTTTTGCCTGAATACAGTTAAATAGGATAACCTAAGATTTTGTACTCAATCATTGTGTTGACCTCCAAAACAGCATATTTAGTATATTTTATGTCCCTCTCGGTCTTCCATTAAATTGTTTTTCACCAAGCACTATATACACTGGCGGATCCAGAAATCTCGCAAAGGGTTAAGGGATAAAGTCACATACACACAATGATTTATTAAATCTTATATGTATTTTTGAAACAAAGGGAAGGGAGGGGGATTCAAGTTACCCTTCTCCCTAATCCTCCTGTGAGATATAATCCAGAACTATATCACATGTATCTATGATACTATTTTTAGAAACCATTGTCCAGTCCTGGCTTATCTGTATTATAACACTAGCAGACTGATCTTCGCAAGCCGAGGGTGAAGATTTCTCCTCTTTTCAACCAAAGAGGATCGAAAGGAGCGGATCGTCACCCTTGGCTATGGAAGCTGTAGCAGACTTGTCTCTGATAAACTGATAAATCTGTGAAACCAAATCCTTCGTGCTATCGATCGCTGATGACGAGGCAACTGAACACGCCCCGATAGATACAAGGTCAACGGAGCCTTGGGGAGGTGGTAATGAGGGAGAATTTCAAGATACAAAAAAACGACACTTACCGATTTCTTTTAAGTATTCATCCAAATTCTCGTTCCTTTCCAGAACCCATACACCTGCTATTGTCTTCTCAATTTCCGCGAGAGCCATGTTTGACCAGTTGTGGATTTACACTAACAGGTCGAAGGTTTCCGATATCATCAGATCATAGAACGTGTACGCACATTGCCCCGAGCCACTGTTTGTTTAATGTTGACAGACAAACCTAAGGTGACAAAGTAGGACGTCTGTCGCAGTCAGTACTACTTAGTGCAATTCTTAATGTCCGATTCAGCCTGTTTTTATATGAAAAAAATTATTTTACCCTGACCCCATTATTATAAGGCCTATAGGTCCTTTGTTTAGGAGCTGTATACACACGTGAAGTGAGTGTGCTTTTATTACGTAACCGCTCATTCTGGCGTTTCTGAACATTGTAATATTCGTCAGCCGGAATAGCTCAGTTGGGAGAGCGTTAGACTGAAGATCTAAAGGCCCCCGGTTCAATCCCGGGTTCCGGCACGGAACACTCCGGCGGCTGACAGCCACACATTTTTAATTTTTATCAAAAAAGAATTTTAGATCCCCGTTCTTCCTCCGTTCAGGATTCGTTTTCTTTTCTTAATTTTAGAGATTGATCACAAGTTTTTTTCTCTCCAAATTTTACAATTCTTATATCTTTTATATGACAGTTTTCCCCTCTTTTTCTGTCACTGGCAAAGAGTTCTTCAAGAATTTCATCCAGCTGATATATCATTGTATATTGTATCATAATTAATATTATGTAAATACTAAGTATTGGAATCGGAAGTCAAATCGAAATTTAATAATTTGTATATATGCTTGCGATGATGAATTACGCTGGAGGGTTTATCAACAAATTCGTTTCAACATGAAAATTAAGGTGAAGATAACGAACTGTGATCAATCGATCTAAACATGGACCTCCGGGAATTCCAGAGATGGATCAGGTACATAGCAGGAGAAAACATCCCCTGTCGACTGCGCGGCCATGTTGTATATATTGTATTTACTGCCACCCGGAAGTATTTGGACGAAAAGTGGACAGAGGGATGGTATTAATTTCTTCAGAAACCGGAAAAATAATCATACGTGTAAGTTCGAAATTACAAGTCTGAGTTTCTGATTACATAAAACACTAGACTGTACAAACCCTTTTATTACACAATGCCACAATATTATATATTATATTAATGATAATTAATCTGAGAAATTAAGATTTTTTGAAAGTCGTCTTCGCAATCACCCCATCGCAAGTTGCCGTCTGAAACAAGATAAAAATTGATTACGTGTATAAAATATTTAACTGAATTGTTTAACAAAGGAAATTATCTTCCCATTATTTACTATCAAGTATTATTCAGACAATTAAATTTCATTTAATATTTAGTGCGGTAGCAGTTATTTTTTTTTCCAGCAAATATGCTTCTTTTGTTTCGAGATCTTCCTTTTTTGTCCCCATCAGTAGCCTGTTTAGTTGTTGTTTATAAATGAAGGTCTCATTGCCAAATTTCATAATGGTTCCAAAAATTGAAATATGTCATCAAGTTTGACCTTGACCTCAGACCTTGATATTAGAGATGATAAAAAATTATCTCGATATCTGTTCCAGAAGACATACATCATTATCTACCAAAGTGCAATACCACTATTACCGTGCAGAATGAAACCTTTTATAGTACATGTATTTCTTTTTGGACTTTTCTTTTTTCTGTGAAAGATAGCATTTTCTTAAAATTTCATCAAACTTGCTTCAAAATACTTTTATCTTACAATGGCTAAACACTTACTTGTATTAGATTATCTCCCTCTATTTCTCTTATTACCACATTGTCTTTAGATTTACCATCTGTAGCTTTTAATTCAATCTTCATTTTTCCATCAGAGTAGGTCACTTTTGCCTGAAATATAAAAATATAAACAAGTAAATATTTTTACCTTTATAAATGCTGCGGAAATGCAAATGTGTTTTATGTTGTAACGAAGTTTTACATGTAAGCTTCAATTAAATAACTAAGTATCCAAAAAATCAAAACAATTTTTTTTTAAAATCTAAGAAGTCAATTTACAAAGTTGAAAAATAAATGTACGACTAAACTAAGTGATCTTAAAAATAATTTGTTTGTCTTTTTATTGTTACAAGAAGAAAAATAGTTTATTTTATTAGATGTATATCTTCTTCAACATTATACTTTTTATTTATTAGGTAACGTTTGGTATTACACATTTTGTCTTTAAAATAACACTTGTACGCTGACGTCACTTCTTATACGGGTACCTTGTAATTTATTATGACGTCAGCTTGAAATTGGCACCTTGTATTATGACGTCGCCTCTCTGACAGTACTTGTATTTATGACGTCACATATTTAAGTTGTCTGTAATCCTGTAATGGTTTTTATGACGTGACTATTTAAGCATTGAATTCATATTTTTGGCTGTCTTCGGTCCTATAACACACCTGGCCGTGCCGACAAATTGAATACCGCGCGTTAGCGCGGTATGATAAATTTGTCGGCACGGCCAGGTGTGTTATAGGACCGAAGACAGCCAAAAATATGAATTCAATGCTTATATTTACATTCTCTAATTTTCCTGCTTCATAATTACTGATTTCGTTAATCTTTAATGTGAATTTAGCGCCCTTCAAAACTGACGTGGTTAATAGACGTAAGAGCCGTTTGTGACGTCAGATGACGTTGCAAAGTTAAATAACGCAAACAAACATTGCGAGGAAAAAAAGTGACAAATTACTTTCAAACGCATATTTGTAGTAATTTTACGTTAATTTAACAGGATGATAGTTTTTGATTAAATTGAGTCAACACATTGTACATTTTGGTGTTCCTAGATTATAGAAAATGCATATAGTTCCTACTGTGTATTCTATCGCGCGGTGACAAGGTTTCGCGTGTGTTATAGAAATTTGAATGTCGTGGATTTCTTATGAATTTCATAAGGAAAAATACACGGATTGTAAATATATTGTATTGTATTGTCTTTAAGCTGACCTTGTATTTATGATCCTCTTCTGATACTTCGATCTCTTCATCCAGGGCAAACTGGTTCCTTACTTCCTTCATCGGGAGTTTCCGGACAAACTCCAGCTTTCCGTCTTTCACCGTGATGATCAGGTTTGGTTTCAGCACAGAGGCTGCCTTCCGTTTGATGACATTTACACCTATTTTTATCAATAGAATGCAGGGAATCAGATTTACTAAAATATTTTGGGGGAGACAGTTATTATCAGACTGGGTAAAGAATGATTTCTGTTTTATGTATGAAATAAGTAGGGAACAGTATTTGAGCTCAAAAGTCCATTAAAAGTTACAAAAGGAGCGGAGCAAACATGAACCTCCAAATGAGTTCAGGTGCCATGGAGGAGTAAGCATCCCCTGCAGACCATTCACACTCGCCGTGTGCTCCTTATCATTTTCGAGGAGAGATTGAGAAAACAATATCATAACTTGACATAAAGTCACGCTAATTGAAGTCTTAATAACATTACAATATTATATATTTTCAAAGACTGCATACATGTTCAGTTCATCTATCTATAAAGCACAATCTGTATTTTGTATACTTCTTCACGATGTTTCCTTCCTAAAGGCATCAATCTTTGCGTATCCTAATATTTTTACAAGAAACATCAAGTCAAATGCATATTGTTCATGCATGCAATATAAATCATTGATACGTTGTTCTAAAGTGCCTACCCATATGCAAGGAAAAGGAACGATGCAATGGGCCATTGCTAATCGATAAAAGAATCTAATCCTTTCCACGCCCTCAACTATTTGTTGAGAGGACGTTCTAAGGAGAGGTTCTGAGTTTTAAAATTAAAAACTTGTGTCAAATCCTTTTGTTGTAACATCTTAACAACAAAATATTTTCCTACCATTTGTGTCCAACTGTCCATGGTACCGATTTTTTAAAAAAATGAAAAATTCAACTAGACGATGTTTTTGGCATTATCTTCCAAATAAAAAAGTCCAACCCCGACACCCCGCCCCTCTACATTCTCAGATGTTGTCGGGCAAAAATAACTAAAGAAGTCTGCTCGCTATGGTGGAAATCTACCCTTCTTTCTCATTTGGTTTCCTCGGCTCTTCTACATAAACCTGTAAGCCTATACCTGATTACATCGATCTTACCCATGGCTTCCAGGAATGGTTCCACGTTCTCTGTTTGTACACACTGCCAGTTCCCCTCAAACCTGCTCTTGATTTCCTCCAATGCCATGATTTCCCGCCTCTGAGTGAGGTAGAACAGTTTTCTGTCTGTCCTTTATATCTATCTAACCCGTTCTCCCTTCTCACACCGACAGCTCCGGATGAATTAAAGAATCAATTCTATAAATATTAATGGTCATTTTAAAATACACTCTCAATTTTAATCCCCAGTACGTTGCAAAATACCATTGATTGACCAGAGAAATATATGCCGAGGAAACGCCATGTTAAATAGTGATTTAAAAATTGAAATGTATATATATATTCCATAAAGGGCGTTTCAAAAATTCCTATTAACCACAACTTTCTTTCATTCTTAAAAAAATTAAAAAAAAAAAAAACAAAAACAAAAAAAAAAACAAAAAAAACCAAACAAAAAGAAACGAAAAAAAGTGTTATGTTCGAAGAATCAATCTTGATATTAATAGGGTCTTAAAAGTATTGCTTGAAAAGAAATGGGCAAGTATTGAAAAAAGTTGATGAATCAGTAAGGCACCAGATCAATATATATATTTTTAATTCCTTGAGCAAACTTTATTAAGTCAATATAAAATTCCAATATGACAGACCTACTCTTGTTAAGGTGACAGAACTTTCTTCTACCTGTAGTCATAAGTTATAAGCTGTGTAATGAAACTCAGTTTATACTGTCTTACATTTTCACAAAAATTAATGACCAGTGTAACGTGCAAGGGAGGTCACTGCCTGTGAACCCCCGCAGGCTCGTACCCGTGATAAAAACGGATAGCCTTGAGATGCTGCAAATATGTACAATGCGCAGTCTTGATCACTTGGTACTGCGTATATAAGGTCTTTACTGGTAGCGAACAAGTGTCACTGGCAGGGAAGTCCACACACCAGCGCACTTCTACAAGAGACAAGCAGGGATGACCGCACACTTGCCCTTGCGCAGTGACAAGCAGGGATGACCACACACTTGACACTAATACGGTTCTAGTCTAGAGACACTGGCAGGGATGTCCGCACACCAATGCTCTACCACAAGATGCAGGCAGGGATGTCCACACACCTGATCTTGCGCAGCAACAAGCAGGGATGTCCGCACACTTGCTGCTAGGAGATGCCAATCACAGAGCAGGGATGACCACACACTCTGTCAAGCAATAAGCAGGGATGACCGCACACCTATCACTTATCACAGTACAATATAAGCAGGGAAGTCCGCACACTTGTATGCACTAACAAGATTTGTCGAGTTTGACCTCTAGAACCTCTCGCAATCCTCGCCAGTAAAAATCCTATATATCCTAACACCATCTAAAATACTTAGTGATTATTTATTTACAAAGTAACTAAAACACGAATCAAGCTTCCAATCAACCAATCTTCAGTAATCCAACTAGTGTAACATACAATGATTATTATTGATCACTTTAATTCAAATTCAACACTAATTAAGTATTTATTTTCGATGTATATAATAAGTAATTAAAAATAACAAGGGCGATAACTTTCGCTATAATAAACATATAGGAAACAGCTTTCCGTTTCATCAGCATTTCTAAATCCGTCAATTGGATTATTTAAATATATTTTCTTTTTTTCGCTGGAAATTGCCCGACCTGACTTTGTTTGGAAAATTATTACGTATTTTCCCACGAGTTTTCTGGACATGCAATCTTCGTTGTAATAATTATATATTATTTCTTACATATCTAATAAGTTGCATTTTCTTCAGTCATTTCTTATTTATATGACTAGTCCCTGGTAAATAAAGAAACCAAACTTTTCGGTACATATTAAAGAATTTTATTGACAAATAAACAATTTCAAAAATCATATACAAAAACATAAACAGATCTAGGACTTCTTGAATGTTGTTTTCGCTGTGACTCCATTGCAAGTTGCAGACTGAAATAATGAAAGAAACTGAACTTAACAACAGTCAATAAATCAACTAAAAATTTATGTTTAATTGTTTGAATTAATAAAAAAGAAATAGTGCTTGGATAAGATAACCTCCCTTTATTTTACATTGACTGATCATTAACTTGGATTAGATTATCTTCCTTTATCGTACATTGACTGATAACTTACTTGAATAAGATTACCCCCTTCTATCTCTCTGACTACGACATTGTCTTTAGATTTACCATCCACCGCTTTGAATTCCATTTTCATTTTTCCTTCAGAGTATGTGAACATAGCCTACAAAAAAATATAGAGTCACCTTCACAAAGGCAAAAATGTCCTATAAAAATTAACAGTCGGACTCTATACCTTGACTTGATACAATGGGATAGGGCAAGTTTTATACTGGGACTCTATACCCTGACTTGATACGATGGGATAGGGCAAGTTTTATACTGGGACTCTATACCCTGACTTGATACGATGGAATAGGGTAAGTTTTATACTGGGACTCTATACCGTGACTTGATACGATGGGATAGGGTAAGTTTTATACTGGGACTCTATACCGTGACTTGATACGATGGGATAGGGTAAGTTTTATACTGGGACTCTATACCCTGACATGATACGATGGGATAGGGTAAGTTTTATACTGGGACTCTATACCCTGACATGATACGATGGGATAGGGCAAGTTTTATACTGGGACTCTATACCCTTACTTGATACGATGGGATAGGGCAAGTTTTATACTGGGACTCTATACCCTGACTTGATACGATGGGATAGGGTAAGTTTTATACTGGGACTCTATACCCTGACTTGATACGATGGGATAGGGTAAGTTTTATACTGGGACTCTTTGCCCTGACTTGATACGATGGGATAGGGCAAGTTTTATACTGGGACTCTATACCCTTACTTGATACGATGGGACAGGGTAAGTTTTATACTGGGACTCTATACCCTGACTTGATACGATGGGATAGGGCAAGTTTTATACTGGGACTCTATACCCTGACTTGATACGATGGGATAGGGCAAGTTTTATACTGGGACTCTATACCCTGACTTGATACGATGAGATAGGTCAAGTTTGATACTGGGACTCTATACCCTGACTTGATACGATGGAATAGGGCAAGTTTTATACTGGGACTCTATACCCTGACTTGATACGATGAGATAGGGTAAGTTTTATACTGGGACTCTATACCGTGACTTGATACGATGGGATAGGGCAAGTTTTATACTGGGACTCTATACCCACACTTGATACGATGGGACAGGGTAAGTTTTATACTGGGACTCTATACCCTGACTTGATACGATGGGATAGGGCAAGTTTTATACTGGGACTCTATACCCTGACTTGATACGATGGGATAGGGCAAGTTTTATACTGGGACTCTATACCCTGACTTGATACGATGAGATAGGTCAAGTTTGATACTGGGACTCTATACCCTGACTTGATACGATGGAATAGGGCAAGTTTTATACTGGGACTCTATACCCTGACTTGACACGATGAGATAGGGTAAGTTTTATACTGGGACTCTATACCGTGACTTGATACGATGAGATAGGACAAGTTTTATACTGGGACTCTATACCGTGACTTGATACGATGAGATAGGGTAAGTTTTATACTGGGACTCTATACCCTGACTTGATACGATGGGATAGGGTAAGTTTTATACTGGGACTCTATACCGTGACTTGATACGATGGGATAGGACAAGTTTTATACTAGGACTCTAAACCTTGACTTGATACGATGGGATAGGGTAAGTTTTATACTGGGACTCTATACCGTGACTTGATACAATGAGATAGGGCAAGTTTTATACTGGGACTCTATACCCTGACTTGATACGATGGAATAGGGTAAGTTTTATACTGGGACTCTATACCGTGACTTGATACGATGGGATAGGGCAAGTTTTATACTGGGACTCTATACCCTGACTTGATACGATGGGATAGGGCAAGTTTTATACTGGGACTCTATACCCTGACTTGATACGATGGGATAGGGCAAGTTTTATACTGGGACTCTATACCCTGACTTGATACGATGAGATAGGTCAAGTTTGATACTGGGACTCTATACCCTGACTTGATACGATGGAATAGGGCAAGTTTTATACTGGGACTCTATACCCTGACTTGATACGATGAGATAGGGTAAGTTTTATACTGGGCCTCTATACCGTGACTTGATACGATGGGATAGGGTAAGTTTTATACTGGGACTCTATACCGTGACTTGATACGATTAGATAGGACAAGTTTTATACTGGGACTCTATTCCATAACTTGATACGATGAGATAGGGTAAGTTTTATACTGGGACTCTATACCCTGACTTGATACGATGGGATAGGGTAAGTTTTATACTGGGACTCTATACCGTGACTTGATACGATGGGATTGGGCAAGTTTTATACTGGGACTCTATTCCATGACTTGATACGATGAGATAGGGTAAGTTTTATACTGGGACTCTATACCCTGACATGATACGATGGGATAGGGTAAGTTTTATACTGGGACTCTATATCGTGACTTGATACGATGGGATAGGGTAAGTTTTATACTGGGACTCTATACCGTGACTTGATACGATGGGATAGGGTAAGTTTTATACTGGGACTCTATACCGTGACTTGATACGATGGGATAGGGTAAGTTTTATACTGGGACTCTATACCGTGACTTGATACGATGGGATAGGGCAAGTTTATACTGGGACTCTATTCCATGACTTGATACGATGAGATAGGGTAAGTTTTATACTGGGACTCTATACCCTGACTTGATACGATGGGATAGGGTAAGTTTTATACTGGGACTCTATACCGTGACTTGATACGATGGGATAGGGCAAGTTTTATACTGGGAATCATTACCCTGATTTGATACGAAGAGATAGGACAATTTTTATACTGGGACTCTATACCCTGACTTGATACGATGGGATAGGGTAAGTTTTATACTGGGACTTTAGTTTTAGCCTCTCGCTATTTTTCAGAATATCAGAAAGCGTAAAAGATGAAAATAAACTTAATTCTTTTTCAAGTCAACAATTTTATAGTGCACTCATTTTTTAAAATTAAACTTATTCTTTGGATCGCTATACTTTATTGCTGGATATTTCAAATATTTTATTTAGTCCAACAAGATCAATTCAATTCGTACTATGCATTAAACCACATCTTAATCACTGCTGTAAACCCTAAAGAAATAGCAGTTTCAGTCATTTGACATATTAATAAAATCTTAGAGAAGAACAGCTAGATCTCTTTCAGTGTGTTTTTGGCAATATCAAGAGTAACAAAGGGATTAGATGTTCATACATCCCCATAAGCGCAAATTTTATTTAGTTGAAAGCGGAAGGGGGAAGGGCAAAACCAATAAATCAAAAAAGCTCTTGAGAAGCAAAAATTCATCTGACAGATTGATGGGATTTATTCTTGTCCAAATCGTAGCTTTGTGTTTTCTGTAATATGCATGTGTAAAGCATGTTTATGTCAGCAGATTTATTTATGGAGGAAGGGTGCTCTTTCCTGCTCCCGGTAACGCTGAACATGGTATGTACATTGTATATGTACCTATTTCAAGGTTGCTATAGATAATAGAGACAGAAGTATATTTCTTGTATTTGTCCTATTTGAGACACAGATGGGCTACATACCTTAAATTTATGGTCATCGTCGCTGATATCATTATCTTGGTCTAGTACGAACTGATTCTTCGTTTCCTTGATCGGGAGTTTCCGGACGATCTCGACCTTTCCGTCCTTGACGGAGATAATCAAGGTCGGCTTTAGCTGAGCAGCAGCCTTCCGTTTGATAAGATTAACACCTAGAAATACAGAGGCAGTTGTCACATACAGAACATTTTATATTCATAAAATGACTTATCTATAGAAATTTGTGGCATTTAAAAACACTATCTAAAATTAAAACGTATGTATTTCAGAATATTAGAGGATTTTTTTTTTTAATTTAAAATCTAATTCTACATACATAATTTACATTATACTGAATATTATTTCAATAATCTTTTAAAAAGGGATTTAGTAAGTTAATTTCTGCAAAAACAATTTTGAACAGAATCATTCATTTAAAAAAAAAAACTTTTCACTATAACGTAAGTTCTTTTGTTAGAAGGGCCTGATTTTATTTTTAATTTAATCTAATTTTAATTTTTATCATAAAAAACCACTTATAACCAAATCAAAACAAGCAATATTAACTTTTTCAAGAGTTCAATGAAAAAATATCTACTTTGTATGAACTTTTTAGATTGTAATTTTTATAACTTACCCATTGCCTCAAGAAAAGACTCTATGTTTTCGGCTTTCACGCACTCCCATTTTCCCTCAAATTTACTCTTGATTTCGTCCAGGGCCATATTTATCCGTGTGTTACTTCCGCGGTGAGTCTGGAGGTCTACATTGGTGTAGGAGGTCTCGGTCTTTATATACATTTCCCACCGTTCTCCATTCTCACCCGGACATCCATGGATGAGTATGAATACAAACACTGTCCAATGTATATTTACCCCATGTCCTGTACCGCCACTTTACAAATACAGAGTGAATTTTAAATTGAGTTGGATCGATGAATTACACAGACAAGCGGGTGGAAAAGGTCGCTGGGTATCTGTGAACTTTTCAGTAGAAATACTTCAGCTACGAGAATCTTTATTTTGTACTATAGCTAATGAGCACAGTTACTGAATAACAAAAGGTATAGCTATAAATACTGTATGGATGGGAATACTTTTTAAAAACTGCTTTGTATGATTGTTTATTCTAAATATGATTTCCCTCGGCGACAGAATTTTTATGTTTGTATTTTGAAATGTCAACAGAATTCTTAATCAGCCTGTTTTCTGACCTGGATTTATCGTTACATATACTCACCTGTTAATATTGAGAGCGTGGGTTACTGATGTTTAAATCTTCTCAATGAGTTTAAATTTAGTATACAAATAAAGTGATTCATTCAAAGTTACTCTTTTTTCAATTTTTAATGTTAGAAGCACTCTTTCAATTACATACACTGTACATTTTGTAAATATTGTAATTTAAATCTAGTCCATGTACGTATACTATGCAAAATATTAGAATGATTTTATTCTCTCATTTGTACAGTGTACAAAACAAGGAAGATAGAGGTGTGGTATATAATATACAAATATAATTTAAAAATGTATTTGTATAATAAGCAACTCATAAATTGGGTATTATTCATATTTATATTTCGACCATATAGATCTTTTCAGTATTATGCATCATATATCTTTACTATTTGAAATTGATGTAATATATTAAAGATTAAATAATGTGAATATATTGTGATTGTGATCCCAGTAAAGAAATTGTTAATCCATGTGGTTAAAATACTACAAAACGTATTGTCTAACTACTTACTTAAATGCTTTACGCAGAGGAAACAAATTTCGGACCGTCACACAATTGATAAAGACTTGTGTTAAATTGCATTACTTGTAATTATCATATGTTTTCTTTTTTCCAGTTGTATGTCATTTGACTTATTGTTTTGACTGTATACCAACACAGTGATGTCAATAAATGAATTGAATTTAATTAATCATAATTCTATGCTTTGATTCATTTCAATTTATCGATGAAAATTGAAACATTAGTTTAACTCAAATTTTATTTTAGGCATAATTAATGTAAATTAAAAGAAAAAATAGAATATTTTAAAAAATTTCATGTTTTCCCGTATTTTTAGATTTTTAAAATGAAGTACATGTAATATGATATGAGGAGATAACTCCTTTTTGTCTTGTTTTTTTCTATTTCAGAAAGGTAATAAACATTTTAAATGTTTTTAAAAATTTTTACATGTTCATCTACTTAAAGAAAATAAAAATGTTATATATCTTATGAATAATGTCAATACGCCAAGATTTCTACTTATACATGTAGGTGACCCCCCCCCCCCCCCAAAAAAAAAGACTTCGTGCTTTGTAAATCGCTTTAATTTACTAATGATTTTATAGAAATTCCAGGAAGCATTAACTATAGTACGTATACATACGAGACGTATATGACAATCATTGATGCTGCTATTAGCCTTCCGTCGTATAAAATCTAGAATTTGATGAATTTATGGTTGAAATAATAAAAAAATACCAACAAAAATCTAACCCGAAAGTGATTGTTTTGATATGCTTGCATCTCTTTTTGCCATTAACCCTGTTTTAAAATAGGATTTAAAATTCATCATTTTCTATTAGTTGTATGTGGGGATTAATTTATACGCGTAAGCACAAATAAGGGTAGTTGTTTGGTCATAGTATATAAGAAGTTGGTCAGGCGTAAAGCGGTCATCGACGAGCAATAATCAACCAGATTTCGAACACGCTTTACCTGGAATGAACGAGTCAAATTCTAGTCACGAGGAGCGGGTTATACATGCTGCGCCCCAAATTGGCCTAAGTGGACGACCTGGCTTAACACAAAATTCGCAAGATGAATTCACTACTCAAGATGCACTGGATATTTTTACAGACAAATTAGATAGGGCGCTTAGACGGCAAAAGCAAGAAATCGTCAGCGAGTTGAGTTTAGCCCAGAAGTCAACAGAAAAAAAAGGTACCTGACTTTAGATATCAAGGCAATAAAATTCAGTTTGAATTTAATGCAGAAAGAGAAACTGACATTAGAAAAGTATTAAACCTGTTGGAAAATAACAGATTAAAAACGGCTAAAGAAATTTTGAATTCTACTATAACTCATTTGAATAAAAGGAACAAAATTGTTCGCATAGCGGATAAATATGGTTGGGACGTTGTACAAGAGTATGAAGATGATCCTATTACTGACGACGCTGACGATGCTACTAAGCTTCGACAAGCTATTTTCAGAGCAAAGAAAAGAAGCACCAACAAGAAGCCTTACGACAGAACAACACGTGCTTATCCTGGATGAATGAAATTGCAGATGTGTACAGTAAGATTTTTGATTTTGATGATTGGTCAGTGGGTGATCACATTTTCCAGTTTTTAAGAAAAAAAAAAAAAAAAAAAAAAAAAAATGGGGGCATTTGATAATGATTTATTTGCAGACTTTAAAAGTAAGAAAGTAGAAAAATTTTATTCCAGAGTTTGGAATCCTGGAACATCAGGTGTAGATGCTTTTGGGTTTGATTGGTCTATAGGTAATAATTGGATATTACCTCCTGTTAATCTGATTATAAAAGTGATTAAACAATTGATTTTGTGCAAAGCAAGAGGTACTCTTATTGTTCCTAAATGGCAGTCTGCACCTTTTTGGCCTTTATTAGTTAAGACGTTTTCTGGAAATTTTCAAAATTTTGTGAAAGAATGGCTTGAATATCACAAGCCTCGAAACTTTTGCAGGAAAGGATCTCATGCAGAGAGTGTGTTTGCTGAAACGCAGTTTCAGAGTAATGTTATTGTGCTTTATATAGACTGTTCTGATTGTTGAATTTTGTGTTTATGCTATGTTATAACAGACAATGATAATGAATGTATGCTAGCCTTTATGGGGCTTTTGTAATGTTAAAAAAAAAAAAAAAAAAAAAAAAAAAAAAAGCCCGGATGGGGCAATTGTGATGAAGCCCGGATGGGGCAATTTTAATGAAGCCCGGATGGGGCAATTGTGATGAAGCCCGGATGGGGCAATTGTGATGAAGCCCGGATGGGGCAATTGTGAATAAATTTTATATTATGTTGCATATAATTGTTAATGAAGCATTATGATTGAGATTACAGATGTGCTTATGAGATTTGATCAAGAACGGGCTGAAATGTTTATCAAGAGACTTAAATGTATATATATTTAATATGAAGTAATTTTATTTTTTTTTAAATTTCAGCTCACATGTAGTTTCTCGCATTGGAAAGAAATTAAAACGATTCAAGATCCTAGACTCAAGGACACGGTACTCAAAATGAATGATATAGTAATGCACAGTAAAAGTGATAACACGTTTAAAAAATACAGAGCTATTTTTTTCAGTTTAAGTCCTGGTGCGCAAAATTTAAATTTCTTGTATTACCTGCTACACCATCTTCTGTTGCAGTTTATTTGTCTTATCTTATACAAAAGCAGTCTTCAGTTGCAGTCATTAATGCGGCATATCATAGAATTCAATGGGCACATCATATTAATCTTTGTAATAATCCATGTGCAGACAACCTTGTAAATTTGATTTTAGAAGGAGGGAAGAGATTGTTATCGAAACCTGTAGTTAAGAAGAAACCTATTACACCTGAGATTTTAGATAATATAATGGATAAATTTCCGCAGTTAGAAAATTTATATCATTCGAGATTGGTATGTATGTTGTTCTTAGGTTATGCAGGTTTCTTAAGATATGATGAACTTGTGCATATTCGAATGTGTGACATTTAGTCTCATGAATCAGGTTCACATGTTGAAATTAGAGTTGAAAAAAAAAGCAAAACAGATATTTTCAGGCAAGGTAATATGTTTGTTATTGCGAAATCAGGTAATAAACATTGTCCTGTTTCTTATCTTGAAAAATACATATCTATAATAGCTTGTCTCACTTTTCAGTCTAATGATTTTATTTTTAGAGCGGTTACATTTTTCAAAAAGGACAATGTTTATAAGTTATAAGTTAAAAGTGTGTGTGTAGATTTTAAAGATTATGGTTTACATAGTTTGAGAAGTGGTGGAGCAACTACTGTAACAGCAGTTAATAACAATTTTCCAGATAGACTTTTTAAAGCTCATGGCAGATGGCTTTCGGAGAATGCTAAAGATGGTTACATTTCAGATAGTTTAAATAAACTCGCTGTTACTTTGAATCTTATATTATGAATTCTGTAATTTCTTTTGTAGATTAATGATATACCCAACCTTTGTATTCGAACTGGTTGATAGGCGCTCAACATACTTTATATCTGTGTTCTGTTATTTATTTTCTAAGTACTTAGAATAGAAATATTTTATGTTCGGATGAGTGAAACGAAGGAGAACATAAATCATTTTCTATTAGTTGTATGTGGGGATTAATTTATACGCGTAACACAAATAAGGGTAGTTGTTTGGTCATAGTATATAAGAAGTTGGTCAGGCGTAAAGCGGTCATCGACGAGCAATAATCAACCAGATTTCGAACACGCTTTTTTTGAATTACATATAGATATATATATATATATAATGTATAACTAAGACATGTTTCATTGTATTTTGCAGATAGATTGTATTTGGAATTTTGGATATATTTCTTGGGGTCATCATCCAGTGTATCGCTACTTAAAGTCGCGTGTTAATTGTACATATATGCGAATAAACTGGTTGATAGGCGCTCAACATACTTTATATCTGTGTTCTGTTATTTATTTTCTAAGTACTTAGAATAGAAATATTTTATGTTCGGATGAGTGAAACGAAGGAGAACATAATATTATTTATTACAGAGGATAAAAAATTATTTGTTACCATCTGTTATTATTTGAATTCA